GGCCGAGATAGAATCTTTTATAACCTCCGCGCGAAGAGGAACGCGTGTTTATATATCCGCGAGCGATTGCTGCGCGATATGTTAATGCCCGTACGGTGCTCTTCCCACGTGTCACACGGCGCAGCGCGCGCGCGCGTGTTTCCAGAGCCCGTCCTGGGAAACATCCCGCTGACTGGCTGACGCGCATGACGTCTCCATCGAGGCTTTCACGAGAGCGTCGCCGGACGATGGATGAAGCGACGGGGGGAATGTCGCATCGCATCATGTCGCGGCCGTGCGAATGTCAAATGTATCGCCGTTACCTTGATTTTTATTGTGCACGCGATCTCCTTCTCTCCTCTCCTCTGTCTCTTGCCGCGCTAGTGTGAACCGTACGATAAATATAATCAATCTCTTTGGCGAGATCTCGCGCGTTCTATCGTAAACGTAGGGCGCCGCGGCTTACGTACAAACTCGCCATTTTCTTCGAGACAAGAATACACACGTATACACACGCGGACAATTTTTAGACGACCATACTGGCTCGCTCGCTCGCTCGCTCGCTCGCTCGCTCGAAACTCGACGTAAAATCGACCGCCAAGTCCAAGTGCCATTATGCCGCGGGCAACTTACCTCTCGTACATAACACACGTCGCCGAAGGCCACGGGAAAACGTCGGCCGCGAGCTAACGGTAAAGCTACGCGGGGCTATCGTTTAACGAGTGATGGAATACAAATTAGGTCCGCCGACGATGTCGTCGGTCTATCGGCGGCCGTCCGAAAAACGGACGTCCACGATGATATCTCGCGGCAAACAAGCTGGCACGTTAATGAGGGCCCACGACGACGACGACGACGACGAAAGGAAGAGGGAAAAGACGAGAGAGGAACCGTGCGGGTTAGACCGAAAGGAGGAAGGAAAGCGAGCCGAGCAAATACCTCGTCGTACGCTGACAACCCCGGATGCGTCGATAGCATCTCGACATTAAGTAAGCAGCCAGCGCGACTGACTCGCGCGCTACGTACGAGTAACTAAGTCTACACGCGTCAATACTCGCCGTGTAACGCGAGGGTGAGACTCCCTAATCGACCTGTACGGTGGCTCACGCGAAACGTCGCCAAGAGTCGCTGGTAGATGAATACCGACGATACCGTCGCCCGATGTTGTAAAGTTAAGCCTCTCGTTCTCTGGCTAAATGGATCAACGCGGCCGGTTGCCGGCCGTTCTCGTGAAGAATTTATCAATTTTATTTTTATCGTGGGAAAAAGCATGCGGTTGTGTGACGATCTCGTCTGGTTTCCCGATGACTCGACTTTGTCCCGAGATTGATCGTCGTCGGCGGTTGGAAACTCAAAGCGCGAGTAATAATAAACGACGATAATGGTAACTTTATTAGAGTGCTGGAGAGGAGAGAGAGAGAGAGAGAGAGAGAGAGAGAGAGAGAGAGAGCGCGGGAGAGGAAAGGAGCGAAAAATTGCAAAATGCGAAAGAGGACAAACGAGAAGGTTACACCGGCGCTGAAGATTGACGAAGGGGCATTAAGACGCAAGAGGAGTACGCGCTTGGTCTGATTTGGCTCGAGGGGGGCGCGTCGAGGGGTGAGTCGCCGCGTCGACGGTGCGCACCTCGGTGACATTTCGGGGCGCGAAGCGGCGCGATGTGCGAGCGCGATTACCTCAACCTGCGCGCGCGCGCGAGCGGCCGCGTTCGTTAATATATTCGTCGCTCGTATCGTTTCCTCGCTTCTCCGTGCTCGCGAACGTGCTTTCCCGTTAATGACGTACACGCGCGCAGCAACAACGGCAACAACAGCGGTAGCAGCAGCAGCAGCAACAGCAACAGCAACAACGTTGCTCGCACGCCGCGGTCGATGAAGCAATGCGAGACGCGCGCGCGCGACATAACGGATAACGTCGCGTTACGAAATCTCCGCTCTTTTTTTTCGAGAATCCAATTAAAAAATCGCGAGCGCGTGTACCTGTCCGCGATATCGAGAACGGAAATGTCGTATTTCTGTCGCGCGCGCGTGCCATCGCGACACATATGCTGATAATAATAATTCCGCTAATTGATAATTACAACGACGATGTGTCTTATCGCAAGCAATGTAATTAATGTCGACAGATATAAGGATTTCTGCGAAACTAATGCATGTCGATTGAGTATCTCTCGATTTCTTCCTTTTTTGTTCCAGCGATCAAATCTCCGCGATTAACGGACGCGGTCAAACAGAACAAGACGCGAATATTTACATTGTCCACGTGCGTTTCACGTCGGAGTCGATCTCGCGCTCTTCCGAAAAGAGACCCGATCGAGCTAATTATTTACCCCTGGAATCCGAACCGGTACCTGGCGAGTCGGACAAGAGGCGAGCATGTCCCATCTCTCTCTCTCTCTCTCTCTCTCTCTCTCTCTCTCTCTCTCTCTCTCTCTCTCTCTCTCTCTCGTGGAAACGTTCTGGAAACGCGCGCTATCGTCGCTCTCGGTGAAAGCACCGATTGCGAATTATCATCATGTTCCCGTCGCCGGCGCGGGAGAGCCATCAATTTTTTTCCCCCTCCCTTGATCTCGCGTGCGTCAACGCGACTGCACACTTTCTATAGCTCCGCCACGTGCGAAACGCTCGGGCTCTACGCTCTCTCACGACAGATCTCGCGCGGAAGATCGATATCTCGTCATGAGCCAACCGCAGCCCGCGCTTGTGCTCGAGCGAATATTAAATCTAACGATGACTTAACGCCGTCGGAAGCGCGCGCGCGCGCGCGCGCGGTCTACGTCGAGAATCTCGCCGTCTTGGAAAAACGAGCGACACTGCACCGTCGCAAACGACGAAGCAACGAGAGACGATCGAGAGAGAAAAAGAGGGTGAGCGCGCGCCAGGTAACTCTTCGTTATCCACCTCCCCTTGTAATTTTCCTACGAATTTGTAATTAAACGGAGAGAAAAGCTCGTAAATACCGGGCGACACGCGAAATTTCCATTAGACAATATCATTAGCTCGGCACGTGGATCGGTCGACATCATTCTGTAATTTGTGAAGGCAGCGGGGGGAGAGATTGTACTTTGCGCGTTTCCATCTTATTGCTTCCGCAGTCGCGCAGAGTAAAGCTGATATAATCCACGTTTCGAAACGCGCATGTCTCTGTCTGTCTGTGTGTGTGTGTGTGTGTGTTCGTGTCGATGATGGAACGAGACTCAACGATCGCGCGCGTACAACCCCCCGCGAACCTCGCGACTCATCGTGTTGTCCTTCGCGGAAGGATCTCTCGTGCGTACGCGCCGGTTACCGTTGCACGCTCGAGACACAAACGATCAGGCCGTTCACCTCCAAGTACAAAGTGAGGTGAACTTGTAGCCGACTAAATGAAAAGGACGCGAGCGCGGGCGAAAGAAACGCCGAGGCCCTCGCCGACATTTTTCCGCGACAAATCTCGCGACGGCAGATACGTATCTCGTCACGAAACGGCGACTGCACGCGCTGCATTAACATCGTCGAATATTAAAGCAATAACGCAAGGATGCAACGACGACGACGACTTAAACTCGAGCGTTACGCTCCACCATTCATTCCTCCGGCCGTTTCTGTCCTCTCTATATCTATCTCTCTCACCGATAATCGACGCCTGCCTTCGTCTCTCTCCCTCTCTCTCTCCCTCTCTCTCTCTCTCTCTCTCTCTCTCTCTCTCTCTCTCTCTCTCTCTCTCTCTCTCTCTCTCTCTCTCTCTCTCTCTCTCTCTCCCTCGTCGTTCGACGTAACCCGCGCTTATGATTGTTATTGATCAACCGTTTTGTTTCTCGCCCATGTGCGCGTGTATGTATGTGCGTGCATGCCCGGCCGAAGTGGCACGCCACGCGGCACTATAATGTTGGCACGACAGAGCGAATATAGAGAGACGGCGGACCTTAATGAATCTTTATGGGATGATGTCGTGAACTTGTATACCCTCCGGTGACTGACTGAACCCGGTCGCGCTAACCATTGGCGCGGCGAGTCGCGCGGCCGCGCGCTACCGGGCTCTTCGCCGGGCCGCGTTCGCTCCGCGCGGACGTTCTCCTCTCTCTCTCTCGCGTTACAGCGCCCGTGCGCGGCGCTCTAACGACCCGGTCGAATAAATCGCGAGAGCTGCGCGCATTTACGTACGGACGCATTTTAACCTCTCCGCCGCGCGCGCACAGGCGGCCCGCGCGCGATCATTGTCTCGCGGCGAAATATGCCCGTGCTGGGAGCGAACGTACGACACGGTCCGGCGCAGCAGCGACGTTTTCCGCGCGGCAATGTATTAATCGGCCGGGAGGCGACGCTGCAACAATGTATGTCGCGTATAATATCGCGCGATGCGACCTACTGATTATTATGCTCGTCGCGCGACGACGATTACGCCAATGCGCGACGGACTTGCTCATTAGTCCTCGACGCGGTGGCGTTGCCGCCGCGAGTTTGATGGTGTAGACGCTCGCGCGCGCGCGTCCGTGTTCGTAAAATTTGAAGGGCGTGTAGAAGGTCCGTGGGGTCCGGGCTAGCCGCGTCTTGATTGTCATCAACTCTCGTTGCTCGTCGCGTGATATTGTCATTAGCCCGCCTAGTCGTCGTCGGCCGCGCGACGTCGCTCGCGTTTCTCGTCCCACCAGAGAGACAGGGAGACGAGCGAAAGAGAGAAAGACAGGGACCTACTTTAGGTTCCATCGATCCACCTCGAGCGATCGACTCGACCGAAAATTCCTCTCGGCTCGTCACCTGCGCGCACGTGTGCCCCGCGACCTGCGCGACCTTCGGGCACGCCTTAGGTGGGGTTTCCTCCGAATGTCTCTCCTCTTCGAGACTCCGGCGAGAGTTTTGCCCCGGCTTCGATCGGCCGAAGCAATGAAACGCGTGCGATTGTCGCCGTTAATAAAGCTATCGCGCTCCCCGTGATGAATGAAGAGAAATCCTGAGGTTTTCTGCACGCATGCACGCGACGCAAGTAAGATCGCCGCTTCGCTACGCCTCGTCTATCCTTTTAATCTCCTCGTCGCTACTTACCAGGATCCGATGAGTCGAGGCTAGCCGGTGCTTGCTGGCTGAGGGGTCCGGGTGTGCCACCACTTCCAGGACTACGTGCATCATCGTTGGCACCCGCGCCCGGATACGAGAGCGACGAGGAAGGTGGCCTCTGCAACGGCAAAGAAAAGAAGTCGCGAATTACTAAAAATTCACGCAGGTCGTCGCGTCGAAGCGCAGGAATCTCGCGTTCGCATCATCGTCGTCGTTTTCGCTTTCGACGGCCCTGCTCGGCGCGAGTCAACGTTTCAGACTCGCGGAGCGTGTCCGCGTGATTCGTGGACACGCGCGGCGCACACGTACACAGTGTCCAAAGCTCCCGCAGGAGGAGCTTTTCTTTCGGCCGCGAGTAACCGCGAGAGTGGAACATCACGTTTCGGCGGAAAAATCGTGATCGACTCGGCGCGAGCGCTCCGGGGACGAGACAGAATTGAGATTAACGAGCGGGCGGATTTTCGCGCCCATCTCTGTCGATTTTCATTCATTTGTTTCTTGTTGAAAGAAAACGCGCCGGAGACAGCCGTGGCACACACCGGGTATGCGCGCGGGTGCGGCGCGGCGCGGCGCGGCGCGGCGCATCGGCTTCGGATTTCGATCTCGATTAAAGACGGAGCACACGTAGCTCTCGTCGAAAATGCTGCCGGCATACCTAAATAATTCGGGGGAGCCCCGGCTCCGGCGACGCGTGTACGACTTACGAATCAACGGGTTTACCGGGAGCGCGCGCGAGCCACGAACGTAAAATATTCGATCGTTTATTCCGTGGGTGTAGCCGTGTGATAATGACGCTCGTACCGCCGAGTGCCCCGGCGTAAGTGCGAAAGGGAGGAGGCGACGAGACGAAGAGCGCGAATGCGTCGGGACACGCGCGGAATTACTTTCGCCTGCGAAACGCGACTGACTTGCGGCTCTGCTCTCCGCGAGTCAATTCGTCGGCGAGACGCACTGCGGTGTGGCCATAAACCGGCGCGTACGTGTCTGCTGCACACGGCAAAGCGGTGATCAGCGGCGATAAGCCGAGCGGGACGAGCAAGTATTTTCTGGATCATCGGGACGGGACGGGACGGGACGGGACGAGATCGTCCCCGGTATAGATCGAATCGAGGATCCAAGGGTCGGGTTTGTTCTCCGCAAGAACGCGCGAATGAGTCTGATAAACCCGCGGCACCCTCGGACGGCGATACGCGAATGACAAAGCGTGCATCTCAATCTGAGGCAATTCGCCGCTTCTCACTGATGCGCTTCAAAGTGTGTTGTTAGAGCCACGAGATGCTTGGACGAGGAGAGGATACTCATTGAATGATTATTCGTGACGATTGCGCGACGAACGAACGAACGGGCTGAGCAGCCTCAGGGTCGCCGGCTTTATTTTTCACCCGCGAATCGGATTCCTCCGCTGCGAGTGACGACACCGTCGACATCCTTTGGAGAAGTAGCGATCGCTTCGACGACGATTTTTTATATCTTTTTATGGAACGTTATATCTCTGGAAAAAAAAGGAGCCGCGCCAGCTTGTGTGTGTGTGTGTGTGTGTGTGTGTGTGTTTGCACGTGCCGGTTTATTGATCTCGTCCCGAGGTCGAAGGGTAAGAATTTGAAGCGGGCGAATCTCTCGATATCACGAAGCGAAATGTCTGGGTATATCACGTCTGGCCAGGCAACAATGAGTGACAGCTACTCCCACATGCTGTCATAGGCGTCATCTTTGCGATAATGTACCGACTCCGCTCCCTCTCTCGATTGCCTGCTCTCGTATCTCGCCTGGAATCGTTACACGGTCAACTCCGGAGGATCTCTGTCGCAGGGAACGTGAATTTACTGCCTCGCGCGGCTGGCAGCGCGCGCGGACGGACGGAAATTCGGCAAAATTTCAGCCGCGATACCAGCAACAACCGAAATACTTGTGCAACATATGACAAGCTACCGAAAAGAGAACTGCCGATATCATTTGTGAGTTTCTTTCTTTCTTTCTTTCTTTCTTTCGTTCATCTCAAATGTATCCATCTTTCGCTTCGATGGAAAAAAGCCCTTTTGTCCTGCGACGCGATTAAGGTAGAGCAGCTTGCACAGCGAATAAACATGAAGATGGTAAACTCGAGGTGCTCTCTCTCTCTCGCTCGGCTCGGGAAATCTCGAGCGAATGCAAGGTGGACGCGGGTGCAAAAATCGGGAGCTCTTCCTCCTTGAATGGTTATTTGCAGAGGGTACCGCGGATCGCGCGGGCAACAGTAAATATAGTATACGAGATACGTGGTAACGAGTCAGGGGGACATTAATAATGCATCGGTCGTCGCCGGGCCGTTTCCTACTGGCACTCGGCGTGAAACGAGGGAGATCCCGCGGTCCGTGAAGGCGGATGATTCTCGGATCGTGCTCGCAATAATCGGCCGGCCGATATCGTTTCAATGAGATGCTCTCGGAGGAGCGTCTTGTATCGGTCGACCGGCCGACCGCTTAAAAGCGAACCGCATCGACGTCTGTTCAATGGACACGAATTTCTCACCGCACGAAAGACGACCCTTTTGTCCACGACCGACGACGATTACCGTCGAGATCTCTCGACGACGAGTGTGTCTCCGCCGAATTCCCGTTGTCCGCTCTCGCGCGACTCGCGCGATCACTCGGGATCATATCGCGACGGAAAGAAGAAAAGCAAAAAGGAAAAAGAGAGTGGGAGTCGTCGAGAGATTTACGTCGCGCGTCGATACAGTCGCTCGTACGAGGTGTACCTCAGTCAAAGCTGACGTCACTTCCTACTAAAGGCTGAATCGCCGTTTTTTAAGTGGCCAGTAGGGTCCACCGCGTGACTCGTGTCGATGCAATGATAAACGGTTAACGGGTCGACGAGCTACGCGCTCTCGTTCCACGTCGCGTTGCCTCTCGCTCGCACGCCCGCCCCCCTCCCCCCCCCGTAGTCCGTCTCTGTTTGTATCTGTCAGTCCGTCTACCACGGCCGCTCTTAAAGCGTAATTCGACAAACCGGATGTCTGGCCTGCCCCTTAAATAAATCAGTCGCCCGCATCTCATATTCCACCCCCGCTCGTTCGTGCCGTAACGTTTCCTTCCCGCCGCACCGAGGGAAAAGTGTCCTTTCTGGACCGTGCGCGCGAGCGCGAATATGTCCTTGAGAGGAAGTAATAGTCATCGAGGAACCCCTCGAAGAGAGCGATCCGCGGAATATCGGAAGGGGAGACGAGAGCGAGAGTGTAGCGCGACAGTACCGGTTCCCGCTTCTTCCATCGCATTCCGCCATCGTCGTCGTCGTCGTCGTCGTCGTCGTCGTCGTCGTCGTAGTCATCGTCGTTACGTCACACGAAACATCCCGACGAAACCGCGCGAACGCGGTTCGGTGGCGGGAATCGCTTTCGATGCTCATGCCATAAAGCATCTCAGCGGCGACCGGTGCCGGTCGACTGTCATCCTCGCGGACGATAAATCATGATCGCTGGACGCGCACGCAGGTGCGTCAACGTCGCAAGCGACAGCGTATTCGGCAATCTGGAGCGTGACGATGCTCCTTCGCGTGCGCGGGGATCGCAGAGAAGGACGCGGCTTACTTACTGGCTCTTCGCGCGACTCGCTCTTCGGAATCGTTGTACGCGCGTATTAATTGGCCGTCGTAACATAATGCCATATAATTATGTAATTAGAGGCCAGGCATTAGTCTCGCTGACTGGTTTACGGGCGAGATACGTAAATCTCCGCAATTAATTTATTGGTGCTCGAGAGCTCGGAGGAGAGGAGCTAGGAGAACAAGACATAAACGAGGCGGACGGGCGCGATAAAGACGGAGAAAACTAACGCGGACCCGAGTCGCTGGGAGAGCGAGAGCGAGAACGAGAGAGAGAGAGAGAGAGAGAGAGAGAGAGAGAGAGGCCGAGGAAAGGAGAAAGGACTATATATATTCCGGTCGCGCCGAGACGCTGACCGGACAGAGACAACGATAGATTATGAAGGCAAGGCAGAGCGCCACATTGTAAAGCATGCCCATCGACTGAACCCAGATCGAGAGAGTCTCAGTCTTCTTCCCGGCCATTCCACGGAGCGAAGCGGCTGCTCCGAAAGGAGCGCGATGGCGGGGAACAGAGACGGAGAAAGGGCGATGAGAGAAAGCGAGACGACGCGAGCCGTTCAAGACGGTCGCGCGAAGGAGAGAAAGAGACGAGTCGTCCTCCCTCCCTCCCTCCCTCCCGCCCTCCTCCGAGCCTCCGTCGTCCGCGTAGTCTTGAATTTCTCGGCGATACCGGCGGGCGTATATATAGGGATCATAAATTACGATTTATTGCAGTGGCAGCGCCTCCGCTCGGCAGATTATCTTACGGTTATGTCAGCACACCACAATTATATTTACATTTCCTCCGTAATGGAATAGCGCGCACGCTGCCGATGACCAGTCGCACGCGCGAATCGTCATCGTAACGAGATCTCCGGAAAATTCTCTCACGCTGGTTAAACCTAAAACCGAGTGCGGCTCAGTGCGCGCATTCGCTCCCGAGACAATCTCCTCTAGGATGGAAACGCCGCTTTCCGTCTGGTCGACAGACGACGACGATGATAGCGCGTAACTGACTCAAGAGGCGATATATTCTTTCTCCTTCCTCTTCATCCATCGATCGCGCTCCGTCGCGTCGCATCGCGTCGCGTCGCGTCGCGTCGCGTCGCGTCGCGTCGCGTCGCACGCACGCATCGGCACGCAGAGGAGACGTAAATTTTGCTACATAACGGATTTATGAAGTAAAGGAGTGAGACCTACGCGCCGTAGGTGGGACTTTAGAGGTCCGCGCGCTAACGATAGCCACGAGATTCGGGCGATTAAATGGCCACGAGTTTAGGCCTTAACAAGGTGTACACCTGACCGGGGAATGATTTTAAAACGGTCGTATAAACGAAACAAATTTATGACTGGCGAGGTGAAGCGAGAGAGGCGAGAGAGGAAACAGGGAGGAGGCGGGCAGCCTGTTTTGGAGCTCCTCCGGCCGGCCGGCCGCGCGCGGCGTCCGTCTCCTTTCACGGGATGAACGCACGAGCGACGGCGTTAGGTACAACACGAGGGGAGAGACAGAGACGGAGACGGAGACGGAGAGAAAGAGAGAAGACGTCCGCCGGGCCGGCC